TACTCCATTTATGAAGATCATCCTTAAACACAAATGTGACAATGGAAATTTATCAACAGCTCTGTAAAATTTTTAACTCACTCATTAATCAAATATATATTATTATGTGCAGACATAGTAGTTAATTCTGTTTTTATCAGTGACCAAAATAGTCCAGAGAAATGGTTATAAAATAAAATGGGTGGGGGCTGGAGAGATGGCTCAGCAGTTAAGCACACTGGCTACCACGTGGTGGATAAAAACTGTAACTCTAGCTCCAAGGGATCCAATGCCTTCTTCTGGCCTCCATGAGCATTGCACAACATGGGAGCAGTTATAAACATGGAGGCAATACACTCATACACAGAAAATTTAAAAAAAATTTAATTAAAATAAAACAAAATGCTAATAATAATGTCATGTAGTATGAGTTTCCCCTTAAATAGAGTATATGTGGATACAAAAGACTTCTTTGAGGGATGACTCAGTAGAGATCTGAGATGTTCATGTCAAAGCATAGGAAATATATTCATTCATTGAAACAGTTCTTTAAGGTGTTAAAGATTTAAAAAAATGCTTAAGATCATGTGTAAATTCCTTAGTAAAGTACAAAAGACCCTTTAAGATAGCCCTAGATGTGGTGGTACATGCCTTTAATCCCAGCACTTGGGAGGCAGAGGCAGGTGGAACTCTCTGTGACTTTGAGGCTGGTCTACATAGGCCAGCCGGGGCTACAGGGAGACCCTGTCTCAATAAGACACCCCAAAAAATTAAAATAAGAAAAGAAAAAAAACTACTTCTTCGACGATCCCAAGGAATTTAGGAGGTAAATGCCAGGAAAAAGGTGAAAACCATGTATTTCACAGTATCACATTCTAAGGATTAGTTAGAAAGTGAAACAATATTTTAATTTTAAACACTGCCTTTTCACATAATCCATTTTGACTATTTGTTTCTGTTCCTTAAATAAACTGCTTTTGTTGGGGAATTTTTCCCCATTTATTAGATTGGTTTTGTTTGGTTTGGTTTGGTTTGAGATCAGTCTTTTGATTGAGACCAGTTAAATCAGCCTGCCTCAGTCTCCTGAGTGTTAGGATTACAGGTGTATACTGCCACACCCAGTCACATGTGTATTTTCTTTCACAAAAGATAATGTATTTATGTATTTGGGATAAGTTTTGACAGTTTTCCAAATCAGTTTCATAAAATGATACATAATCTTTCAGTGACATGCCAGACTGGTGTGATGGAGGCAGAAGTACTTCGCTCTTGGTCTTTCCTCCTCAGTCCTACATTCACACATTTAAGGAAAACATGCTTGAAGTTAAATAAATCTCCATTTACTATTTATAAATACTAGATTTGTGAGAGCAGGAAGAAATTGGGAAAGAGAGACTGTGTATTTGATAGTACATCTGCCTCTTTCATTAGAGATATTTCAGAGTTTGGTTGAATGGAGAGTCTGGAAATATAAAAAAAAGGTGATTGATTCTCTGTAACTGGAGAGATGGGTCAGTCATTAAGAGTACTGACTGCTCTTGTAGAGGACCCACATGGCAACTAACAACCATCTGTTACTCCAGCTCCAGGGGACCTGAAGCCTTCTTCTCATATCTGCAGGTATTGCATGACACAGGTGCACCTACCTACATGCAGGCAATACACACACACACACACACACACACACACACACACAAAATTAAAAATATAAATAAAAGAAAAAAGATAGCCCTGGATATCTGAACAGTCTCCTGTGATGTCAGACCCTGCAACACAGGAATACTCAAGCTATGTGAAGTTCCTTTTATTAAAAAAATATTTTAAATGCATCTTGTGTGTGTGGGTATGTGTGCTGGTACACATGCCACAGCATATATGTGAAGGTCAAAGTCATCCGGCAATCAATTCTTCCATCATGTGAGTCCTAGGAATCAAACCCAGGTCCTCAGGCCTGGGGGCAAGTGCCTTTATGCACTGAACCCCCTTGCCAATATAGACCAAATATAGGATTTCTCACATGCCCCTGTGCTGTAACATACTTTTCTCTGACCATTATTTAAAACCTAATATCTTACTTCTCCTTGAACTCCAAGTATTCTGTCTGCCCATTTAAATTGAATGTCTACACATCTTGATTTTCTGTCTCCTGTATCTGATCACAGGATGTGGTTCCTACAAAAATGCCCAATATAATTTATTTCAAAAAATAAGTATATAAAACTTAAAAATATTACTAAAGGCCATTTGAAAAATGCATACAGAAACATGCTTATGTACAAGCTTTTTTAATTTACCCTATAATAGGGGGACAATGCCCCTACCACATACTACAGGCTAGCAAATAAAAATCTGAATGTCAGGAATGGGCTGTATATTTTGAAGTCATTGACCACACACTCTCAGATAATACTGACTATTGCCATGGCTTTTAGTTACCCACCAGAACTTGTTTTTAAGATCCTATTTCTAAGAGCACTACATATAGCATTTAGAAAATAAGAAGAGGACACAACATGAGGATTAGGAAACTGAATCTGAGAGGAGATAAAGGGAGCGGATCTGAATATGATCAAAACACATCGTATGAAATTCTTAAAGAATAAGCATATATTAATATATAATATCTATATATAATATAAATATTAATACAAATACATAAAAATATATAAATACAAATATTAATATAACAAAGAAGCAAAACAAGAAGATTACTAAAATGTCTCCAATTATTTTTAATCTTTAAACATTTTATTTTCTTTTAAAAATTATATGTATGCATGTGTGTCTGTATGGGTGGTGCACATGGGTGAAGTGGCCATGGAGGCCAGAAGAGGACATCAGATTCCTTGGAACTAGAGTTACAGGCAGTTGTGAGCCACATGCTGTGGGTGCTGAGATCCAAACCTGGGTCCTCCGTAAGAGCGGCACATGCTCTTAACTAATGAGCCATCACTCCAGCCCCTAATTAAAGATTCTTATGTTGTGTATTTCTCACCTCAACAGTGCTTGGTCCATGATTTTAAACCTTAAAAATCTACCTCTGGCTCATGTCTCTCACCACAAGCTGTCATAGTCCCTCTAAACAGATATATTCACTTTATCTTTTTTGACTTTTCCTCATATTTCCAATGCCTAACGTGTCTATTCTATTTCTAATTTTCCAAATACAACAGCATATGTGTTCCACTGAAATTCTCCTGAACATTTTCCATCTTCAAATGAGCTAATTCCCCTTTGAATACCACAAAAGTATCTCAGTTCCTTATTTTCCTGACATGTAGCCAAAGTTAGCTTTGTGTCCTCCTTTTGTGTCATATTTTGGCATTTCCTCTAGGATATCAGTGGCCCTCACAGCCTATATTTTTAAAAAATTAGATTACTCAAATATGTACCATACATAGATATACATAGTATAGTCTCAGTTAACATTTGTTAAATTGCCATTGACTGATTAAATCTTAAATTAATGCCTTAATGTCTTGTCTCTAATGATGTCATGATTTCCCATGAAGATTTATCTGCCTTTACTTATTATTTTATTTTAGTCTATGAAAATTTCATATATGTATACAATGTATATTGATAATATTCACCCCCATTCTTTCCCTGGAAGGATCCTCCAATACGTCTCTCTCTCAATTTCGTATCCTCTTATTAAATTAATTAATTTTTTTTAAATTAATTAATTTTTATGTGTATGGGTATTTTGCATTCATATATGTCTATGTTCATGCAATCCCTGTGGAGATCAGAAAAGGTCATTTGATACCCTGGAAATGGAGTTATGGCCAATAGGTAGCAGCCATGTGGGTGCTGGGAACTAAACCTGGGTCCTCTGCAAGAGTAACCAGTGCTCTCAATTACTGGGATAGATCTCAAGCTCCTCCTTTTTATTTTTTTAAATACACTGAGTTCAGTTACTGCTGTCCATATATGCATGAGTGTGGTGCCCAAAAGGGTAATAACTCTCCCTTCCCCAGCCTCCATCAACAGCAATAGTTCCTCAGGGAAGTGTGCAGTTCCAGGAGCCCCTCCCCCTCCACACTGTAACTTTTTTTCTGAGTTATTGTCTTTTTATTACGATACAGATTCCAAACAAAGTACAAAGCAGTGGTGGGGGTCTCAGATAGGTGGGTGATAAGCAAACACCAGGCTTGTCTAGATGGACCACTGCCAGAGCCAAATGGGAACCCAGAACTAGAAGGGATCTAGATGAGAGAGAACTGTAGCCATCCTAGGGGAATGCATGGAGATCAGTGGATGGTGTATCATACATAGGGGACCTCCATATCCTCGCCACTTTCATCATTGCAACACAACTCAAGCACCAGTGCCCACACGTGGCGGCCCAGTTTTTACTTTGACACATGGCTCACAATCTCTGTCATCGGTGGATCCAACTGTTCCTTGAGCTTGGCAGCTGGCATGAAGAAAGAATAGAGCACGGACACACCCTGGGACAGCATGGTGCTCTCTAATTTTTCTTTGTCTTAAAGTAATCAAGGAGCTGTTTGAGGCTCATCTCCTCACCATTAGGCTACAGCCCTTGTACTTCGAAGTGATCCCACAATGTCTGCTCTTGGTTATAGTACTGGTGATGAAGTGCAGCAAGGGGTTCAGAAAACCCAAAGATGTGCAGGAACAAGTTCAGGAAACCATTTTTACAGGAATCAAGCTGTTGGTGTCCCAGAACTACCTTGTACAGCTCCAGACACACAAGGCCAACCACAGCAGCTGTGGTTGTAGCAACGGCTGGGATGATCTTCCCTGCAATTAACTTGCACTTGTGTCAGTCTGCAGGGGGCGAATATCACAATTTTCGGCTCAAAGGTTGGATGCAGCCATAATGAAATCCATATGGAAGTTGCTGTCCTCATCCCTTTCAGTGGGGTACATCTTGAATCCAGGAAACTTGTCTGGGCTCGGCAATGTGGCTTTGAACTCCTCTAGATGGATGTCATCAACAGAGACACTGGCACTCTGCAACTCCTCATCAGAAACATGGATCTTGCTACCAGACTTGGGGGTTGCGCTGGATAGCTTTAGTGTCAACGTGACACACCTGAGTTAAGGGAGCCTCAGTTGGGGAACTGCCTCTATTGGACTGGCCTGTGGCCATGTCTGTGTGGCATCTTCTTGATTGTTGTGTGATGTGGGAGGGCCCAGCCCACTGTGGGTGGTGCCACTCCTGGGCAGGTGGGCCTGTGTTGTATAAGAAAGTGGGTTGAGGAGGGGACAGGGGAATAAGACAGTAAGCAGAGTTCCTCTACGGCCTGTGCTTCAGCTCCTGCCTCCAGGTTCCTGCCCTGAGTTCCTACCTTGGGCTCCCTGATGAACTGTGACTTGGGAGATGTAAGCTGAATGAACCCTTTCCTCCCCAAGTTGGTAGTGGTCAGAGTGTTTTGTCGCAGCAATGGAGAAATAAACTAGAACAGGGGTGAACTCTGGAGCTGGAACCTGGACAGCGTTTGGGCCCTGACTGGAATGGAGCTCCAGAACTGGTGAGCTGGTTGGGAGGAAAGTTGTGCAGCAGTTGTCAGATGTTGTTATATTATTGAGTGTCCTAGTGGTGGAAGGTCCAGGTCATGCAGTCACTCTAAGTCTGTGCTCACACAGCCTCTACCACAATGTTTGCCCTACAACTTGGCCTTTGTGACATACTGGTTGACATTTTCTGATGGCTGCTTGAAAAGGCCTTCAAACTCATCTGGGGCCCACTGCAGAGTATGCTCAATGGCATTGGGGACATTTTTCAGGGTACAGATAGGGATGGATTTCTCTGGTGGATCCTGGCTGGAGCTGTATGACTCTGTCAGGAAGGGGATCACCACCTGCACGGTGCCCTTTTTCTCCAATATGCCCAACTCCAGCAATGGTTTCCTACAGTACACACAGTGGAAGTCCATGTACACGTGGACATCTACATTGGGGCATTCACCACACCATCCAAGTTTTGGAAGAAATCATCATCATAGATGTGCTCTATGTCAGGACCCATAGGGTTCTGGTGACTAGTCACCTGGATGTATGGATTCATTTGGTGCACAGCTGCTATGGCTGTGTCAGACTTTAACTTCATGACATCCCAGGGCCAGAAGAGAAACTGCTCAGATTTGATTTCTCAATGGTGTCCATGTCTGTGACAACAATCTCTCCACCCTCTCCACAGCCTAGCCCAATCAAGAGCAATCTTGAGCAATTCACAGCCAATGGCCCCTGCACCCACCAGGAAGTACTTCTTCTTGCCCAGCTTGTAGGTCTTAGCCAAACACAGCTATCTGCCCATCATAAATATTCTGACACTAAAGGTACTTGTTCTCCTTAAGAGCCTCTTTGTCCTCTGGGAGACATTCAAAGGCATCAAAGTACAACCACTGCACGATGGGCATAAACTTTCCAGAACAGGCCTTTATGACTTCCTGAGCAGGAAGTCCTCCAACGAAAGCATTTAGGGGTGCCAGATCCCCAGTAGCAACATAACCTAGCTTCTGGATGAGGTCTTCATCCAAGTTGTCCTGCTGTACTGTGGGTGGGGATCAAGCATTCACAGCCTGTGCTAGGGCCACCAGTTCTGTTGTATCTGCCTCATTACAAGTCTAGATGTCCGGCTATGCTGAGCACAGACTTGGTGAAGGGCCTAGAAGCCAATGTGTAATTGGGCAGGGCAAGAATACTTGGCAAAGTCATTCATCATAAACTCAGGGTCTGCCAAGGAAGCCAACAAGGATTTAAAGCTAATCTTTTTAGGTGCTTTTACCTGGCTGACAATGCCTCCATGGATATAGTAGTCAGAGAACTTAGAAATGTCACAGATACTAAAGGTATAAGGACTCATCACTTTGATCTCTATGGACTGACATCCACTGAGTTGGATCGTGCCCTGAACTTCTGAGAATGAGACAAAGTCACCACTCTTAAAGCTGTGCCAGGCCTCATCTGGGTAGGTAAGTTCACAGGATTGTCCTTGGTGACCATAGAAACCATAGCACTGAATGGTTGTTCTCTGTTGGAATCTGTGAGAACCATTTCCTCTCCAAAGTCAGAGAAAAGTTGCCTAAATACGCTTCATGTGTCTGTCACCACTAGTCTGATGCCTCGACTATGACAGAATTCACCCACCTGCAGCTGGTCTTCCAGAGAACTGTTGGTGAGGACCACCACCTGGAAGCCACTGAGGAAGTCCTCAAGAGTGGTCCAATATAGGCAGTCACAGGAACATAGCTGTTCAGCAAGTTGGTGCTGAGATACCTCAGCTGGAATTTTACCAATGTCTTCTTCCCTCAGGTAAAACTGGAAGGAGAGATCAGCCCACTGAGCAGTGCCTTGGTCATGTAGGGTAACAGCCTTGACCCCACCAAGGATGATGTTCTCAGCAATTTCCACACCCAAGCCCCACAAGCCTGAGACAAGGACACTGGATGTCTGGAGCCTCTTCACCTCATGGCCCAAAACACGCAGCTGCTGGGAGTAAAGGCCTGTTTCGCTGCCGTTCTTCACCATTCCATTATTTGGCACAGAGGGCACTTGGCACAGACTGGGCAGAGGAGTAGTTAGAACCCGGCTTTGGATCAGGCCCAGACACACGATATTTCTTGGACGAGCTGGACATCAATGCCTGTTCCCCAGGTCCTGCCACCTCCAACTCCCCAAGGAGCCAAAGCCAAGGTCCTCTGCCACCCTCCTCTTTTTCCTCCTCCTCCCTGCCTCCTGGGCCACCTAGCATCGCTGCTGCCTTCTCCTCCACCGGTCGCTGCAGTAGTGATCTTCCCTGCCACCTCCTTTTTACCCCAGCAGCCAATACCCATGCTGGAAATTTTAACTGGCTTGGTCTTCTGCAGGCACCAGCTGCTGTGAGTCCATATCTGTAATAACCATGTCATGTCCATGGGACAGTGTTTCATAGCACTGCTTTTCTTCTGGCTCTTCCAGTCTTTCCACCATCCCCCTTCTGCAAGGTTTTCAAGGACTCTTGCCTTGGCAGCAAGAGACCTTGATCTCTATGTCCCTTCTATGGCTGAGTACTCACTGTCACTTGTTCTCAGGACTTTAAACAGTTATGAGCCTCTGTATTTACTACTACTTGCTGCAGTAGGAAGTTTCTCTGACCTAGGTTAAGAGCAGCACAGCTCTGTGGCTATAAGCATAATTATTTAGACTCAGTTTGACAACATGATGATTTAGAAAAACAACCATAGTTCTCACCTTGGATGTTTGATTTCCTTAGCCATAATTTTGATCATGTTTACTGTAGCAGGCATGAATTTCCTTCTGTAGAGCAGGCCTCATATCCAATCAATTAAGTGGTTTGTTACCCCCATAAACCATCTTGCCAGTACTGCACCAATGGACACATATTACCCCACAGGTTGGTATTGTAGTATGCAGGATCCAGCACTAAGTCCATTGATGTCTTTTCTCCCAAAAGCCTACATAGCACCATCCATCACTACAAAAACTAGCAATTAGTAAGAGTGTTTCCTGGTTAGTTTATGACTGATTTCTGTGTCCTGCAGCCAATGAATTTGGTGCTTTTGGCAATAGAGTCTTACGATCCAGTTATGGTGTGCAACTGAGAACAATGGCAATACCCTGTGTTGTTTTGGGTGCTTCTGGGGGCTCCCTAACCAGTTACTTGTGGGGAAGTAACTCATGCTTGGTACTGAGGTTTTCATTCAATAACCCATATCATCTGGGAACAACATTGTTCACTCATGTTGGTTACCTCTGTTCAAACTTGTTTTTAAAATTATATTTTAATTAGCTTACATACTAGTGTTATTTCATAAAACCTTTTCATAAACCCTTAGTTTTGGTTAACTAACCCCACCTTTCTGCCCTTATCCCCACTTAAACCTTTAGCTCCCAGTATTCCCCACCCACCCTCTATTCTTCCATATCGCATGTGTTCTACTATCCTCTCTAATTATATTCTCTACTTAGATTGCAAGATCATATGTTCCCACTTCAACTTAGTTAATCCTTCTCCTCTCTTAC